ATATATATATATATATATGTAACATTCTCACTACGTTGTTTAGTTTGGGTGTTAGTCAATCGCAAGGCAGATGCGACGATTTCGAATCTCGCTAGGGAGGTTGACTTTACTCGGGCGAGTTGAAAACTGCGGTTCCTTATAGCTGGAGAGGCCCTCCATATCCGAAAGCGACCAAAGGCTCTATAAAAGATCTACTGTTAGTTTAAACCTACTTATGGCATCTGTTATATACATATATACATTCATTAATTTCTTAATAATAATATAATTGAACAAATGGCTTAACTAAGTTTAACTATCCATAGATGAATTATAGAAACTAGAGTCCCACCCTCTCGCTTTCGGTGATGCAGGACCTCCTTAATTGTACAGGAAAGCAGTTCTCTAGTGGTATTAGCCTAAAACAGCCTAAAACGCCGTAAGGTGACCCTAAGGCTTAAATGCAGTTATCAAGAATTGTAATTATTTAAGCTACGCCAAACTTATTAGCCCACATGATTCATATTCGGCTCGAAATCCCGTGTATTGTAGAGAGGAGTCCGTGTGAAATCTAACTCGTAGCATTTGCCCAATCGATTGATAGGTGAGCTGAGGCAACGGTGGCAAAAAGTAGGTGCTCCGATTATTCTGAGCCGCTTGGTCCAGATTCGAACCGTCTCCGCAAATCCTTGCCTCTTGACGCCAATCGTGTGATTCACTCTGGGATTCGGTGGAGGATGATTGAGGTAGAATATCTTCAACCTGAAAATAAAACAGGATGGCTGCTAAGAAAATATGCGAGAATAAAAAAAATAGAAAAGCATTCTTTTGACTATTTCTATCGCTAATAACGCTAATTTTAGGCATATTTTCCCGAAACTATTTAAGTCTTTATATGCATTTTTTATTCCTCTGATCCCGTCGCGAGTGAAAGACACTATTTAAATTTAAAATATTAACTTTCCTAGATATATAAAAATGTGACCATGATCTCCATAAAGGGTATGCCAATAAAGATTACTAAGATGGAAAATGTCATTTCACTCTCATCACTCCATTCAGAATATGGTTCATTCAAGTGATTAATGAAATTCAATCAAGGATATATTGAAACTAAACAGTAGGTGCGTTAAATATCTAGTATTTCGTTCTCATATCAAAAAAGATGCACGGTATTCTAGTAACATTATTGAAGATTCATTCGTTTGGTAAAAAGAATTACGTTACTCTGAACAAAATAATATTAAAAAGTCATTAATCAAGCTATTGATTGC